GCCCTCAGCCAGGGTCAACCCACCACATAGGAATATCCAATGAAATGCTATTTCATCAGAAAATGCTGACAGGATGGGATAAAAACTGACTTTTGGCCTAAGAGCTTTATTTTTTCACTTACTACTTAGTTCAGAAAACTTTACAAAACATTTAAAACTGTTGAAACACTTCAAACCTGAATGACAGAAAACTGTAAATCCATTAGAATTATTTTGCCTTAGAATATTTATCTATTTATTTTATGAATAGAATATGTAGGTAAGAAACAGAAGTGCAAACACCCTAAATAATCATAATAGCACATTCTTACACCATGTTTTAACTTTCTTTCAGATTATGTGCACATAAACACAAGTTTTGACTTGTCCCAACCTAGACTGGGAAATAAAATGACAACTGAATTTCTTACAGGAACAGAGTATCATTTTTCAGTTTGTGGCCATTGTTAGATCAGGAAGTCTGCTTGTGAAAATGAGTAGTCTTCAAGGAACACAAAAGCTTCCTTAAAGTCACATGTGCATCATTTCTCAGTCTCTTTCATTTTGGAATATAAAGTTTTTTAAATTTTTAGAAAGTATTTCTGTTATTCTAATCTAATTGCTGAAGTTTGAATTGTCTTTACTGAGAATTAGAGGGGTTTGATCTCTGACTTCCAGAAATCATATACACTAGAAGGATACAACACAGAAAATTGCATCTTCCAGTGTCTTTTACAGTTGTGACTGGTTACTTTAATACAACAATCACATGTATTTATTAGAGCAGACGGTCACAATAAAACTTTCCTGTTGCATTGTCTGAGGCAATAGCAGCATTTTTTCCCTGTCTTTCATCCAAAGGTGATGTTTTTTCCTCTTTATTTCCCTTTCTCTGTTTTGTTCAACTATGCTATTATTGGCTGCATTTTTTTTACAATTACAATTTTACATTTTGTATAATTTTTGCAATAAGTACAATTTTTATATTTCAAATTCTAGAGGACCCAAGCAAAAGCAGGATTTCATTATGATAGGTGTTGAATGACACAAACAACAATTACTCCATCTCAAAAAACGCATTAATAAAATGGCATGTATGTTACTATTATCATATCCAGTGCAAATAAGGAGAAATTAGCAACCCATTAGTATGTAAGAATCTTAATGACAGTGAAAATATTGTCCAGGTTTTCAATGAATTTATTAAATTCTGACATTTGATTCTTTCAGTCTGTTTAAGTTTTTCTGAGCTGTAATTTTAACAGGAACCATGTAACTTTTTGCCCAGAAGTAACATTTGTTCAATAAGAGTGAATGAATGCACATCAAATCCTGCCGGCCCTGACAATAACCCTTAATGTGAGGTTCCAGTTAATAGCTTCAGATGTACCTGCCATCCAGAATATAAGGAGCCATGTAGTGAAATTGTCACAAATCACTGTGTGGCTGGACTATGTCAGAATGGATCAGGATGCAATGAACTCCCTGCAAAGTTTAAGTGTCACAGTCTGACAAGTAAAAATCACTTTTGTCATGAGGCATTTGGGTTATCGGAAAGAAATATCTGAAGAATGTAAATGCGGCATTTCTGGGGGAAAAAAAAAAAAATAAATTACTGCTAAATCTCCATTATTTAAATTCATGAACTATCTTTTGACTGCCTGTTGCAGAAAAATAAACTGACACTTGCTCATTTCTTTTTACAGGAAATAGTATATTCTCAAGTACTGCTGTTTGATGAGAAACTTCATACAAAAATAAATGCTTAATTTTAAAATCAGGCCCTGAAACCTCCACCCTTTGCTCTTCAACTTAATATAGTAACTTCTGATATATTTATCCATGCTGCAATACTTTGATAATTAACTCCAAACACAGAAATAAAAGCATACATAGGTTAATATATTTCCAATCTATAAAGTTATTATGAATATTTATTTATAGTTTTTCAAACAAAAAAATCATGTTAGCTTTTCTATATTTGGTATCTCTGCTTGGATGACATTCACATAACCACATATAACAGTTACACGTATATCTGTGTATAACTGTTATCATTGATTAATGTTCCCATTTTACTTCCTTATCATTATTTTTTATATTAGTTTTATGCAGTACTTCAGCAAGCAGATGTTAACATCTATTTACGAAGGCAAAAATGAGAAAGATGCTTAAATTTTTAATAGCAATCAACAGGGAGGAAAACCAGCTGTATGAGAATGTTGCACAGCTGGTGTTTGGGATGGAATAGAAACATAGCTTGAAGACACCTTTCTGCATCTACTGATTTTGAAACCAAAGTGACTGCATGTGTAGGGCAGTTTTAATATGCATTGTCTTGTATTTATGCCTCAAAGGTTTGTTATAGAAGCCAGGATTTCTAAAGCACAATATGGCTCAGCAATTTACCCTGATGGTCAGAACTTGCCGTCTTACCTCATCTAACCAGCTGTTCAAAAACTAAAAAATCTTCCAGATCAGGAGCTCTTCAGTTGTGCCCTAAGGACATGGTTTACACTTCCTTTAATTTGAAGGCTATGCTAAACTAGGCCCAAGCAGGACTGAACTTTTAAAATTTTGTAGTAATTTATTACTCTGGATCTGCAATTAATAAACACTATAAAAACAGGGTTATGTTTAGTTTTTCAAAGCTATCACACTATACTGTAGGAATACAGATTTGTTTGAACATCTTTGACCAAAGATTCTTCCTTTTTCTCCTTGTGTAAAACACTGATGAACTGAAGGTCAGATAGGGGCAATTCAATGGCACACTAGACTCTGTTCTGGCAATACCTATGCCAGTAAACCATGGCATTCCTTTATAAATCTTTTTTTAAATGAAATGTGAAGTTCAGATCTTCAACCAGACTTGGTATCCAAGTTTGTAAGACATTGGAATTAATTGTATTTAGCTCACTGAACCAAATCTCTGGTTTAAGTCTTTAGTGGCTTTTCATGCTGTAATTGTTAAATTGTAATAAATTGGTCCAGTCTCTTTTGATCTTTGCTGGAACATTATTTTTGCAAGAATCTAAAAATCTTTAGAAACTTTTAAAGTGCTCGGTTAATAGGAGAACAGAAAGCTATGCTTCTTATACTTCAACTCATTTTTTTATAACAAAAGTTACAACAAAAATGTCTAAAGTTTGAAACCTGGAATTTATATTCAGCACTTGGATCCTAACTCCACACACATTGATTGATTTGTTTTTAATTGCTTGAGATCATTTAATTACAAAAGATTTATTGGATTTGAAAATATCTATTTTTCAGTGAAACGATATTTATTTGCAAACATTTATTGTGTATGTTCTGAAACAAAGGTGCTGTCATCAATGAAACATGATTTTCTTGCTTGATGATGGCTACAGAAACTGTAATACCATGGCCAATATACCCTAAGTGTAAAAGTAAATTCATATTTTATCTTTTAATTTCTTTTTTAAATTTTGTGCATATGTAGCCATCAACAGGAAACATGGATGCTCAGTGTTTCACAAGATTAGGTTTCTTGTTAACTATAAGTTAACTGTTTGAAAAAAATCAATACCAATAAGCTGTCAGACCTATCAGATCATGTAATATCTGCTTTGTAACAGAATATATTGGGACAATTTTCTTTTTTTGGCTTGGAAACATAGGATGTTTTTTAGTGTGGTGTACAGAACACCACAACAAAAATGAGAAGGCTTTTATCAACAGTATGCTTACTGGTATTTCAATAAAATTAGGAATATCTGCATAAAACCACTTGAATAAATTGACATTCTATCAAATTCTCTTGACCCATTGTATCTTGAATGGTTTTTATTATTATTGCAAGTATGGTTTTATCATACAGTTCTTTTGTTCCATTTAGAATTGCTTTGTATATGAAACCAAAACTTTCAAAGAAACTGGAATATATTATTCTATCCTATCCTAAATAAAATTTTGAAATACAAGAACACAAAAGTACTTATCAAAATTGGTTTCTCACATGTCTTTTTTCTCAGACTAAATGTGGTAATAAGGTTTCTATGTCTTCTGTTATTCTATTTTTCATCAGGTTTTACCGGTCAGTTCTGCGAAGCAGATGTTGCTGCCTGCCTGTCACAACCATGTGGAGCCTCCAGCATCTGTAAAGACATATTGGGTGGCTACCTTTGTTTCTGTGCACCTGGTTTTATAGGTGGGTTCAAACAAGTGTTGTTTACCATCTGTTTGAGTCAGTCCTAAACCATAGAAAAGAAGGTTATTGAAAAGTAGCAATAGAGATAATTTAGCATTGTGCCTCTGATTCAGGCAGAAGCAACTTTTGTTTCCTGGCACACATAACTATTTGGCTGGGTAAGAGTATTCAGCTGTAAAAAATACTGACTACAAGGGACTATTTCCACTCGAATAACTCTTACTTTATACTATTTTAGACAGGGTGTCTGTCTTACACTGATGTGATTGCCACTCCCAGCCATATGCAAGTTGACCTTAATTTATCTGCTTTGTGCTTCCTGTAACAATAAGGCTGCAGTAAAAAGGGCCTCAACCATCAAATATACATCCAAGATCCTGGGCAGGTTTAACTACTCATGCTTAAACCAACTCTGCAGGTTGTAGTACAGAGTCTGACTAGATTAAAACTAGTTTAATTATGTCAACATACTGTCATGGTAATTCCAGATTACAGTGTTTAAAAAAAAAAAAAAAAGAACCTTTCTAGATACAGATTCAGTTCTTTTTAATCACCTGTATGATGAAATAACCAAGTGCCGTAGGAATTCCCTGAGTAGCAGGTCAGCTCTGCAGGTCTATCCTGTCTAACTGCAGGGACTTTGACAGAGCTCCTAAGGCAGGAATAGGGTGACTCCAGTGTCTGTCTCGATAGTCAGGGAGAACACAGGCAACCAGAGGAATTCAGATCTTGAGTAGACTCCATACCCCTTAACTTGTTGCTCTACATCCTAATGTAGGCATCCATTTAGATTAAATAATTTGTAATGTAATAGTTGTAGTATTTGTGTCTGTAATATAATGAAATGCTATATCTTGTTTCTATGGTTGATTTATCTTATTATTATTATCAAAATATAAAGTAAAATTGTTTGATGTTACTTGTGACAATTCTTGGTCAGGTCTTATTGAAATGTTTGTTTAAATTCTTATATCTACATAATAGTAGATTAGTATGTTTAGTTTATACCTTTTCTGTGGCCAAATAAAGCCCTGAAAACTCCTCTGAAACAAATAGGAACTTTTGACCTACCTTTTACGCATAAGTAATAATAAATCTGAGGCCACTATCATCAGTTTGGGTAATTCATATACAAAATGCAAATAAATACTTTCTGAGCTTTGTTCTACTTCAAAGGTCATAACTCAATATTAGGTACATCGTTCTCCACTAGAAATCAGCACCTATAATTTTTTCCTCTGCATATTTAAAAATATATGGCAATATCTAACTTTTTGATTATTAGTTTCCAAAAAAAACTTTATTAATCTATTTGGCCATAGTGGAAACGTTTCCTAATATTTCTCATAGACATCTTCATAACAAAACCAGAAATTAATAAATGAATAAAAAAGAATCTTACACAAAAAGTGTGATATTTTAATATTTGGTCTCAGAAACCATACTTACACTTTTGTGATGTTTCAGGAAGACTCAAGACTTTACTGCCCTTAAAACATGAAGAAGTGCAAATTTTTGAGTATATTTATAAATGACTCTATACAATTCCCATCATATCTTTGTTGAACATTATATATACATTTCAATTTTGCCTTTAATCATTAAGAAATGAATTCCCCAAAGACAATTTACAGCTCATTGGTAAAAGTTCCCTGTACGTAACTAACTTCAGTTATTTCATTTTGTTGCTGCTTGCACTGGTGACTCACCAGTGGTATATTCCTAATTAAATGAATCCTTCACTTGTTTCCAGGTAATAACTGTGAGATTGAGGTGGATGAGTGTCTTAGTGATCCTTGTCACAATGGAGCTACTTGTGTTGATCATGTGAATGCCTTCAGTTGCATCTGTCAGGATGGATTTCAAGGTATTAAAAAATCCATAGAACTATAACTTCATAAATCTACTCTTAGTCTTACACCATTTTTTAACATACAGGATGAGATGCACGTATACTTTTTTATTGTCATCTTCAGTAATAAACATATAAAATGAGCGTAAGTGCTTCTTGACTAAAGTTATCTGTTTTCATGACAGCATGGAACTAGGTGTTTTCTGCTAGATGGTGTCTTAGCTGTTGAAAATAGGTCAGTGACTTTCAGTTAAATTTTAGAAATAGCATATAGTGCTTTCTTTTAGTTTTTTAAACTGTTGGCAGATTTAATATAATAGATTCAGGGAAAAACACTGGGTGGGAAAGATTTTGTTCTTGGCATATTTGTACAATTTAAATGAAAAATGTAATCACTTTGACAAGTGGATGCATTAATAGCTGCAGCTATTCTTTGCTTTCACCTCAGATTAGGAATTTAAAGTGCATCCATTTTCTTTTTAGTGCATCATTTTTTAAACATCATGAATATTTAATCACGGAAATACAAAGCAATCTATAATTCAAATGTCACAGGGCAAAATATTATACTTCTACTGCTAGTTATTTTCAGAATAACTATCAATTGCATTTTTATTTATTAAAATTCTTTGAACTCCCCAAATCTCAGAATTGACGTCAGTTTTCATTTATTCTTCAAATGATAAAAAATTAAGTTCACTCAGAAATATTAGCAATATTGAAAGTATTTTTATACTTTCAGTAGCTATGTGGTTGTGTTAGCTATAGTCTAGACTGGAATAAGTGGTGTTTTTTTCTATATTGGATTCCTTTTTCCATTTTCTGGGAGTACATCTGTTGCCTTATCATAAACACAGGGAATACTTCTTCTCATGTCATTGCAACACAGTCTATTATATTTAATGCAATTTGATTTCCATTCTTCTATTTTCATATAATAAGAAAATTGCTTTAAGCCTTAGGAATCTATTCAATGACTCTATTTTTAATCTTTTTTGAAAGTAAGTGAATAGCTTAAACATTAAAAATATGAACATACTGCCATAGATGCCCAAATTTGAATATAAAAAGGGTGTCAAATAGAGTCTAGTATGCGAGCTATATTCAGGTAAAATAAATGTTCGTATTTAACTGCAGGTGCTACGCAGTAACTTCTTTCCCCTTTGCCTGATTGTATATTTATAGGTACAACTTGTGAAGCTAATATAAATGAATGTCACTCTTCTCCATGTCTTCATAATGCGTCATGTGCAGACCTTATTGGTGGCTATGAATGCATCTGTCCACCTGGCTTTACTGGTGAGTTGTATTCATAGCAAATGTTGTTTTCCACAGCGAGGTAGTCCACAAAGCATCCATTAAGACATCATTGACTAATTTGCTTGTGTTTCCTTCTCATTTCTCTTTATCTGCCTTAGTCTAATGTTTCATTTGCATTCCAACAAACTGGAACACTGACTCCATCTGTAAACTAAATACCACAATACAAATTAGTCTGCATTTAAAAAAGTCTTCAAAGCTCCCATGCACAGAGAAGATTAGTTACCATTTTTCAACTCAGAAATAAGTTGTTATGTATTTGTGGTGATAAGAATTAAATGGATGCTGACATTAGTATGTGTGCTTCTTTATTTGGCTGATTTATGTTAGTTTCTCCTCACAACTTGCTCGAGATTCTTGTGGTGCAAATGAATTAGAAATAGGCACCTGACTGTCTTACTAAATGTTCAAATCTGTTGTCTTTTCAAAGGTGCAAGATGTGAAACAGATATAGACGAGTGTGCTTCATTTCCCTGCAAGAATGGAGCCACCTGCATTGACCAACCTGGTAATTACTTCTGCCAATGTGTGGCTCCGTTTAAAGGTAATGAACACCAAGGGAGAGGGGAAAACAAACATAATTAACTTTAGAAAGCATTTCTGTCAATTGTCTGAACTCATTTCACTCTTCCTACAGCATTATTAGTCCTTCATTTTCTCAAGCAAAGCTTTTAAAGTGACCAGCCAATTATGCCTTAGGCTGCAAGTAATGTGAAGTAAACTTTGTTTATACATCTACTAGGAATGTTTATTTATTAATCAAAAAAGGATACTTTAAAATCAGTTTGTTAATGGCATAAGATTATTTACAAAATGAGATGCGTATGTCCATTAAGCTGCCATCACAAAGATCAGTTGCTTTTCTACACATTTTTCTCTCTAATTTGATTAGTCATGGCATTCTCTAAATTATTTTCTCATTCTTAGAAAACAATTTATAGTTATCTTGGAATCCATAAATTGTGTGTAATTATTTCTGTTGATGCTTTTAAAGGAAATACATGTAAAATGCAAGCTTTATTGAGACTTTTTTCATAGAAATTTTGGGGGGTTAAGTTTAAACACTGAAAAAGTAATTTAAAGTAACATATTGTGCAGTGTTCATGAGCAAAATCTAGTTTAAGTGATAATCTCAATTAAAGGCGCTTGTTGATTTATAAATTAAATATAAACACATTTTTTCCTCCTGCCGTTCAATATAATGATACATACTTAGGATTCCAGAATAATCATTAAAAGGCAATTTTCTTGGTATGTTGAGACAGCAGGCTTTTCCCCTTTAGGGAAGATGGCTGCATTAAATTCATCATTCATGAGAAAAGAGTGAGCTCTAATGTTTGTTCTTATTATTTTAGTTAATGGTCAAAATTTAGTTTGTCATTTTTATTAGTTTTAATTTATGTTCTGCTGAATAAAATCTAGTATAATAACAAGTAAATGAGTGCTGCAGTATCAGAATTGCCTCTGCTCAGAAAGATGTGTAATCATTTTCAGTACATGGTTAGAAGTAGTGGTCTCAAGTATTTGTTTCACAAGGAGCCAGATTTTCAGAAGACTTTAAGTAAGTAAGTGATTAAAATTTCAGAAAGTCAACATTTCTGTAGTCATCCTTTGAGAAGCTATCAGTGTCTAATACTCTCAATGGAAAAGTTAAACCCTGCTGGCAAGATTCATAAATGGTAACTAAGATCCTCTGAAAACATAATATTCTTGATAAGAGGATGTCTAGAATCTATAGGTTTCTTGTTGAAATAAAATATTTTTTGAGACTGTTTAGTTCTTTACAGGTTTACTTGGTACCTTTCAAGAGCAAATTCTTATACTGATGTTACCTAGATTTATGATGGTATAAATAAAAACAGAATTAGCTTCATATGAAAACTCTACCTCAGCCACACACCATCTGTTTATTCAGTATTAAACTGCTGTAAATGTAGTCTTTAACAGATTCACAGTAAGCTAACATAATGGGTAGTCAAACTATGTTTTCTAACTGTGTGGAAATATTCAGGTTACTGTAATGAATACCTTTGTGTGCATTAATTACAGCTTACAGAAATTTATTTATTAAGAAAGTAAATATTTTAATGGTGTAAGTTATATAGAAATATCTGTTTTATTTTTGGAATATTTTCACATTCTTCCTCCTTCTGTTACTCTCTGTGGAAAAGCATAAATGCTATGTTATGAATTCTGTCATTTACTTGGAAAGAAATCTGAAGTTTTATTTCCATAATACATTGTAATGTTTGATTCTCCCATCACAAAATCTCACTTGAAGGGTATGCGCCACTATTAGGAACACACTGGGCATCAGAGAGGACTATTGTGGTTTTGCCCCAGCCGGCAGCTAAGTAGCACACACCCACTCGCTCGCTCTTCCCTGTCAGGATGGGAGAGAGAATTGGAAGAGTGAAAGTGAGAAAACTCATAGGTTGAGATAAAGACAGTTTAATAGGTAAATCAAAAGCCACGCACACAAGCAAAGCAAAACCAGGAATTCATTCACCACTCCCCATGAGCAGGCAGGTGTTCAGCCATCTCCAGGAAAGCAGGGCTACATCACGTGTGACGGTTACTTGGGAAGACAAAACGCTGTAACTCAGAATGTCCCCCATCTTCCTCTTCCCCCAGCTTTATGTGCTGAGCATGACGTCATATGGTGTGCAATATCCCTTTGGTCAGTTGGGGTCAGCTGTCCCAGCTGTGTCCCCTCCCAACTCCTTGTGCACCCCTAGCCTACTTGCTGGTGGGGTGGGGTGAGAAGCAGCAAAGGCCTTGGCTCTGTGTAAGCACTGCTGAGCAGTAACGAAAACATCCCTGTGTTATCAACACTGTTTTCAGCACAAATCCAAACACACCCCATACTAGCTACTATGAAGAAAATTATCCCAGCCAAAACCAGCACATCTCTACTATACAGAATGTAGAATTAAGGAATTCTGAGCATGATTTGGACATTCAGGTGCATTCATACAAAATGCACCCTTGTCAGATTAAGATAGAAATGGATTCTATCTATAGAAAATGGTTAGCATACATTTGTCTCTCTTTCCAATTTCCTTGACTATTCTTATTTATTCTGACAAGGAGACTATGCAAGATTACCACCAGAAAGTTTTAATTTTTCCATTGTCCCTTCTCGTCCTCTTTATTTTCTCCTTTTTAAAAAGAAAACAGAAAAATTTTCACTTTTTTGCTTTCATTTCACTTCTTTTGAGAGCAAGTATAGCTACTTCTCATGTTTATTTGCTGCAAGCTTTTTGATATCCCAAATATGTAATTTTATATTTTAACAAAATTTTACATTAATCCTATATGAATATGAAAAATCATCAGAAATTTTATTAAAGTATTATTATATACTCATAGTTTCTTGTATTTTTCTTGTGTTTTTTTTTTTTTTTTTAAAAAAAAGCATAGATTTGTCTACTTTGACAAAATGTTTAAACTCATTCCATTGGCTTCCATAGAATACTGGAAGACATACAAAGCTTTTAAGAACAATGATGCTTGGGCAGTGATATATATCTGGATTTTTCTTCAAATATATGACAGTCCAGGCTGTGCAAATTATTTCTACAAGTCTGATCTGTGAATGATTTTTTAGTTTTCCTGTTGGCACAAACCTTTTTAGAAAATCCAATTTCCATAGTGAAGTCAATGCACGAAGAGCACTGGAGAAGTACGTCTTCTCACGCTGTTGCTGTAACCCTAAGTGACCAAATTAATATATTCCTCTCCAACAACATTCTCCTAACAGAGGATTTCCCCACAGCTAGTGTAGATCACTGGTCTTTCTACATATTCTAGTATTTCATTGGAATTATTGCCACTGAAAATTGCTACCTTTTTTCAGCTGAACAGCTTGAGGGTACTAGCAGTCCATCTATGCATAATTCAAAAGATAACTGAAGAAACTTTTAAGACTTCCAGATATGAAATAACACCCTTGTCAACTCCTAATAATGTTCTAATTACTAAATATGATAATTGAAGTCTTTTCATCCTATTTCAGCCAAGTTCCTTGTCCTGTGGAGGAGAAAATTGAATTTCTATTTTCCAAAATCATACAGCTTTTCCTGTAGTCCTGATAAGGTATAAAATAATGAACGTCAAAGTCCACATACTTTTATATCATAACTCTTTTGACCTTGGTTTGGAGGAAACTCAAGATTTGATGAAAGACAAAAAATCTATACCAGATTATGTTATTACTGAAGAGATTCCTGTGTAAACCCACAGAGAAATCCTAGAATTTACTGAGCCTCACTGAACATATATTGTATCTAAGGTCAAATGGAGAAAAAATAATAGCATCTAGGTTTATGTAATATGCTTTTGCCATTTATAATACAGTTATCTATGCCACAAATACTGTACGTACTTGTGAATATGTTTTAATTACCCCAATATGACAGTCCACTTTTCAAAGTCCTACAAGATTTAACATAAGTACGTATCTAGTATAGCTGCTTCTGCTTGGTTCTAATGTATTTGTACCTGCAAATATGCTACTATTTTAGAAATGTCTCCCTCTTCCACCCATTTTCTATCATATCTCAATTTGGGTGCAGGATAAATCACACATTTTAATATTAGCAACAGGAGACAAACAGCTACAGTTCTGGCCAATACATTATCACTGATCGTCTTTGGCAGTAATTTATCTGTTGCAGTATTAACCAGGCCTCTCAGCCTTCTTATGAGCTTGATTCCATTATATTATCCTAGCTGGGGAGTTATAATAACTTTTCTATTATGATATTGATTCTACAATTGTAGCCTTTCTATAATAGAATCACAGTTACTATAGAATTGATATTAAGTGCTTCAGAAGAGAGTAGAGTGTGTGTGAAATATTGTGAGACTGTACCTCATTTAGGGGTCCTAAGAGTTTCATAGAAGGTAGAATGAAAGCTCCCAAGTCTCTACCAGGAAACACTGTCTTGTTGTATTAAAAATTAACACATAATTCAAGAACAGTGCAATTTAGTAGATTTTAGAGTCCCCAGTGTTATATTTTATCTGTATTTTATCTATATTTATATCCATGCTGTTCCTTCCATGTGGAAGCATGTTAAATGCAGACTTGAAAGTATTTATTTACAGAATGATAGGAAGCAGAAGTTGATAATGATCATATTTTAAAATCAACATGCCCTTTAATTTTCAATGAGAGACAGACACCTTATCTTTTATGTTAAGGAGTAAAAAAATATTTTTCCAAACCTCAAACCTACCCTATTTTTCAGTCCCTTGCTGGTCTCCATTATAATTTAGCAAAATACACTTTTTGTCTTAAGCTATTTATTTTGTTATAAGACTGAAACACACCCATTATATTCTTCCATTTGTGCCAGCAAAATCAGAGTGGTGTTTTTGGATTGCTACAGTTTATTTGCTTTCCTTAGTTTTAAGTCTTCATATAGCTTACAGCTGGAGGAGCATATCACTTTACAGATTTTATCTGGCTCTTGCTCACTTGTATGAAGGGATGCCTGCAGTTCACTCAATTGTGCAAAGCTATCTTAGGAGAAGAGG